CTAAAAAAAAAAAAAAAAGGAAAAAATATCCTTGGGTGAGGATTAAAAACCAAAAAACCCCACATGTCCAGATGGCTTTATATGCAAGTTCTACTAAACATTCAATAAACATTTAATTCTAATCATACATAAATTATTCTAGAGAAAAGAAAACTGAGAATTCCCAACATATCTTATGAAGCTTACATAGCCTGTATACCAAAACTAGATTAGCACAATACAAGAAGGAATAATTCCAAGCCAATGTCACTGAAACATGGATGCCCAAATTCCTAACAAAAACTAGCGAATCAAACTCAGTAAGGGATACAAAATACAAAACATTGTGACCAAGCTGGACTTATTCCAGGCATACAAGATTGGTTCAGCTCTGGGAAATAGATTAATGTAATATATTAACATGAACAGAGAAAAATGAAGTAATCATCTCAATAGATATAAAAAAACATGACTGCCATTCATAATTAATACCTGTTACAACCCAAAACAGAAAGGAATAGCCATAGCATGACAATGGATAAAACTACAAGAAACCCACAGCTAACATTAAATTATGTAAGGCACTCCCTGTAAGATTAGAACAAGACAAGGTTGCCACTTTACTATAATACTGTATCAGAGGTCTCAGCCAGTGCATAAAGGCAAGTAAAGGAAATAAAAGGTCTAAGTATTGATAAAAGAGAAGAAGAAAGAGCCTGGTATTTTTTGCAGATTATAGACCCATGTGTGTAAAAAATATATCTTCAAAGAGTGTACATATAGATTAGTGTTTGTAATAGGATTTAAGAAAGTTGTGATATATAAAATAAAAATATAAAAATTAAACAGTACTGTTATGGGCTGAATTGTGTCCCCACAAAATTCATATATTGAAGTCTAAATCCGCAGTACACCTTAGAATGTGGCTATATTTGGAGACAGAGTCTTTACAAAGATAATTAAGGTCAAATGAGCACATTAGGGTGAGCTGTCATCCACTATGGCCATCCTTACAAGAAGAGAAATGCAAAGGATCATGGGAAAACAGAGAGAGAAGACAGCCATCTACAAGCCACAGAGACACGCCCTCAGAAGAGTCCAACCCTGCTGGACACCTTGACTTGAACATTTATCCTACAGGACAGTAAGAAAATAAATTTCTATTGTTTAAATTACCCAGTCTGTTGTACTTTGTTATGGCGCCCTAGCAATACACTAAATACACTAAAATATAATTATTTTGACAGTAAGTTGCAGATATCATGACCGTTATCTTTTTTTTTTTAATATATCATTATTGATTTCACAGAGAGGAAAGGAGGGGGAGAGAGAGAGATGGAAACATCAATGACGAGAAAGTCACTGACTGAGCCCGCAACCCGGGCATGTGCCCTGACTGGGAATCAAACCCCGATCGCCTGGATCCTACGTGGACGCTCAACCGCTGAGACACGCCCGGCCGGGCATCATGACCCTTATCTTTAAACACTTTAGTGTGCATTTTCTAAGAATATTTTCTTACATATCCAAAGCAGTGTTATCAAAATCAGAAAACTTAACACTGACACAGTACTATTTACTAATCCAGGTACACTTATTACTATCCTGTGCAAATTAACTTTCCATTTTAAAAAGTTTTCAATGTAACCCAGGGGGAGTGATTTAGTTGGCTGTATATCATCCCACGCACCGAAAGATTGCTAGTTCAATTCTCAGACCATATACCTAGGTTGTGGGTTTGACCCACAGTCGGGTAGCGTATGGAATGCAGCCGATAGGTTTCTCTCTCTCTCTCTGCCTCTAAGCATATCCTTGGGTGAAGATTAAAAAAATCCCACATTTTCAATGTATTAACCTAGAGCTAGATACAGATCAAGAAGGAACACAAATGTAAATGGAATAACTTTAAGGATGGTGTATGCCTTCAATACTATGCTATGAATTTGGGTGCAGGTTCTGCCTTATTTTACTTGTGTCATCATGGCTTAGCATAGATTAGGTAGTCAAATATTTGCTGAATGAATGAAGAGAACAAGTAATAGCATTGAAAATTGAAGGTATCAAAATTTTGGCTTGGGGATTTATATTTAGAACATAGATCACTATAAACAACTTTTCATCTTTGAAGTTAAAATGACTTGCTTTTATTAAAACAGACGACAACAAATGATATTATATATATCAGTGGCTTGTGACTGGGCTTATTCTACTTGACTTAATATTCAGTTAGGATAGACATATTCATCCAATCCCTGCCACCCTCCTCCACACTTCAAACAATATATGCTACAGGACTAGAAAACATTTCTGTTCTGACAGCAGGAGAAAAAAAAGCTTTGCTGGATGATGGCTGTCTAGTAATGAGAAAGAATACAAAAAAAAAAAATTTTTACTCCTCACCTGAGGATATACTTTTTAATTGATTTTTAGAGAGAGAGGATTGGGAAGGAAAGACAGACAGACAGACACACACACACACACACACACACACACAGAGACAGAGGGACGGACACTGATATTTGAGAAACATTGATTGGTTGTCTCTCATATGTGCCTCGACTGGGGATTGAACCTGCAACCTAGGTATGTGAACTGACTGGGAGTTGAACCTGAAAACTTTTGGTGTACAGTACATCGCTCCAACCAACTGAGCCACTGGGCCAGGCCAGAGCATGTATTTATTTTAATAAGTAAAACAAATGACCTATGCCTTTCAGTTAAAATTTCTCTAAAATTTGAATAAATTATACCTGAATATCTGAGATAGTTGGAAACTCAAACTTTCAAATAATATAAAATACCTGCATCATCATACGTCTTCTAACTGTGTCAAAGGGATAAGAGAGTATCCCAGAGCATGTAGTCACAACTTGAGCAATGAAAAAGGAGACAAGGAATGGGGTTTCCTTTGGTTTGGGTAATAAGCCCTGGAAAAAAAATAATGTAAAAAGTAACCATCTAAAATATCTTAAATCCTTAAGTCAAAGAATAACTCTTAGGAATATATGAAAGAGGGCTCAATTATACTTAAAATGCCATTAAGACCAGTTGGATTTCATGTGGGAAAATTAAGATATTAGCAGGAGATCAGTAAGAAAAGGGGAATGTCATACTTTAAAAACATTTGAGGGGGAAAAGCACATTTCCTATTTAATTGATTTGTCATTAATGGCACTGAAAACTAGGAAAGATAACAGCCAGTGACCAAAAAAGTTTTTCCATGGCTCTTCAAACCGAAATAATGCATGCTATTATCATCAATGGCTGATATTTGATAAACAGCTTTAAAGCTCTAAGTTAGTGAAGAAACATTTCTAAATTTCATAGCTACTACAGCTGGTAATAGATAAAAGAGAGTGCACATAAACTTTTGTTATTAAATAAACATACGTAAGAAAAAATACACTACAAACTAAAAGTTTTATGCCCAGACCACAATAAAAATGGCATTCAACTTCATTTGATGGAGGGTAGAGATAATATAGAATGCTATAAAACTTCCATCAACTTTTAATCTTATTTAAAATGGTAGCCCATTATTACAATCTTTCTCTTTCCTACCTTATGAAAATATTAAAATCTGAAATGAAAAGGCAAATTGCTAAAACAATCTGGAGAATACAATAAAGAATCTAACAATACTCAATAGACACCTGAGCTATAAAAGCATTTATTACATTTAACTAATTAATTATGCCTTTCCTACACTCCCAAATGATAGTAAGTGTACTATTTGCATGAAAAAAAGATAAGTCAATGTAAAATCAGAAAATTCTGTCAGAAGTCTTTCTATATGTCAAAGATTAGATTATGATGTAAGCCTATTCAGAATGTTTCATATTTATAGTATGATGTATAGTGAGTCTTTCAGTGCAAACAGCACAAAAACGTAACGTTTGGGTTTATGCTCTATATCTCAAGTCAGATCCACAGTAGAGTTATAGTTTAATTAGGTTATGGTAAAGTAGTGATCAAACAACTCTATAACGTCTCTTATTCCATCATTTATTTTGATTTATATAACAAAGTAAACATATCTGCTGAACATGGTACTAATTCGAATAAAAAGAAACAAGCTATTTGTTTTATACTAAAGCCCCCAAATTACCTTAACTGTGTCATAAGCTCCAAAATAAGAGGCTCGGTACACAATGATGCCCTGTACTGAAACACCAAACCCTTGGTATAAACCAATAATTCCATCTGATTTTGCTATTTTCATAAGACAGTCACCTAACCCCTTGAATTGTCGTTCTTCGGGACCTAAAAGAAAGACATTTAAAATTTATTAGCAGTATTATATATCAGATAAATACTTTAGTTAAACATCTTACAGTTTTGAAGTATTTGGAATTGCCACTTAGAAATCTAAGACCAAAAAAAGCACACATCAAAATTCTCACATTAATTAAAAAATAATTAAGTTTCAAGTAGTATCTTAAAAAAAATTTAAATATTAATATCTTATAAAAGCAATCTAATTAAGCAACATGATTGCCTTAAAATGTTTCAGTGAAATTACCAGAAGTTACTAGAAACATAGTTACTAGGAACATTGAAATTTCTAGTTTTCATTAGGAATGAAAAACTTCATGACTTCTTTCAGTTGAAGAACAAAAAGAGCAAAAAGTCAAAACAAAAAACTTGAGAACTAGCCCTAGCCAGTTTTGCTCCGTGGTTAGAGCATCAACCCTCTAACCCGGGTGACGGGTTTGATTCCAGCCAAGGGCACGTACCTTGGTTGATCCCTGGCCCTGATCTGGCTCCATGCGGAAGGCAACCAATCTATGTGTCTCTCTCACATCGATGTTTCTCTCTCTCTCTCTCTCTCTCTCCCCCCTTTCACTCTCTCTGAAAAGCAATGGAAAAAATAACTTCAGGTGAGGATTAAAAACAAAAACAGTAACAAACAAACAAACAAAAAACCTTGTAACTTAAGGATCATTAACGTTTTAGATGGAGCGTCATATTTTTCGAGTGTTTGTTGGTGTTGTTTTTATTGTCTCTTGACTTGAACTCTTTGACAATATTTGAAAATTATATGTAGAATATAATCTTTCAATATAAACTAAATTCTCCCGACTTTGAGAAAAAACAAAACTGAACTTAAAGCAAGATACATGAATTATTTTCACTTTCTTAGCATTAACAAGAAAATCTGGACTGCCAGTTAAACATAAGGTGGAACACCTATTTTCATTTTTGCTCAAACTGCTACCCTTTCTGAGATATTTTCTCTGATTGCTTATCTAAAATTGATGTCACTTCCTTCTCCTAATTTTTTTTTCATGGCATTGATTGCTAAGTGACAATATATTTTAATCATTCATTCATTGTTTTCTTACTTGTGTCCCCCACTAGAGTATAAGGTACATGAGCTATGAGCTCCATGTTTTATATGGGGTGTTTGTGTGTATGTGTGTGAGATACACACACAGCTTGTATCTAAAGCAGGGTCTGGTTCACAGTGTGCAATGGAGAAATATTTATAATGAATCTCTGTTCCCTAAAGACATTCTATTAAAGTGATAATAAAGAAATAAAACAGGTTTAAAGACATATAGGCAAAGAAGAGTATTTGACAGAGAATAAAAGCCACAAATTTTAGCATGATGGAAAGGATGTGGAGTGGAATCTCACTAAGTAGAGCAGAGAAAGCTGAAACTTAATTTTCTTGCAAAGGGAGATACTGTTGAGAAGAGAGCCACTGAACTCCAACCTCAGAAACACTTATAAATTTGAAGAACTTCACCCTGAGCAGCCAAGTGACTCTTGTCTGCCATCCTCAGAACTGAACACAAGGCTCCATCCAGATTGAATGGGGCCAACTGAGTTACCTCCACAATCACTGAAAAAAGACTCCCACAAAGATATATTTTGTGAAATGTCAGGTCATCAGGGATATAAGGTGATTAAAAAAGAAAAAAAGGCACATACAAAAGGATAAGCAATAAGAGATCACCTTAAGAGCAATATTAGAAACTAGAATCTAGAGCAATACGTTTTTGTTTTTTTTTAAGATATACGCTTGAGTGCACTTTCTTTTCTTTTTTTAAAAAATATATCTTTATTGATTTCAGAGAGAGGAAGGGAGAGGGAGAGAGAGAGAGAGAAACATCAACAATGAGAGAGTTACTGATCGGCTGCCTAGCCCACAACCCGGGCATGTGCCCTGACTGGGAATCGAACCCTGATCACCTGGATCCTAGGGTGACGCTCAACCACTAAGCCATGCCTAGCTGGGCAAGAGTAATACTTTTTAAATTGTGAAACAAATTAACTTTAAAACCAGAATTTTTTATATGGTCAAGAATTAGGGTAAAACGGAGACATTTTTAGACAATCAAGATCTCAATTTATCTCCTGTTCTACTCTTCTCAGAAAGCTACCAAAGAACATAATCTACCAAAACAAGTGAGTAACAAAAAGATAGTTAGATATGGTACATAAAATAAGGACAAAGGGAAAGGGAATCTCTAGCATAAGAGTTGAACATCTAACCTAGAGAGGAGTCATAGTAGAGGTAGGAACAACTGTATGAACGATCTAGGAGGTGGCTCTCCAGGGAAAAAAAGGCAGTTATAAGCAGTTTTTGTCTTTCCTCTTTTGTTACTACAGTGTTGGCCTTCCCCTTCTTCCCTCTTTTAAGGAAAAAGAAAAAAGTAGTAATCTTTAGGCCCTATGACCCTACCAATTGGTTGAGAATAAAATTTTTAGACTGTAACTAACACTGTTGTTACAGCATAATTCTACAATAAATAATACATTGTTCAAAACACAAAGAAGGAAGAGTCAGTCAGTATTTCTAAAAATCCCATACCTTTTCCAATATCAACACCTAATCGGGTTCGGGCAAAATCTAGGGGGTATACAACACATAAGGATGTTGCCCCAGCCGCTCCGCCAGAAGCCAGGTTTGCCAAAAACCATCTCCAGAACTGAAATATATGAAATTAAAACGTGGTTATTAAACTACAGAATCTGATTGTGTGAAATTCTTATTTTTCTAAAGGTTAAAAGCCCAGATTTACAAACTGATTTTCTAAAGTAAATGTCTGTAATAATGTATATCATACTATCCAGAATACCTCTCTTCACGTCCATGTAGCTTTTCCTTCTTATTAGGCAGTCCAGGAGGTACAGTTTAGATGCTGACATATTAAAATTCCAAAATACTTTAATGGCCTCCAACAAAAGTAGCCCAAATTAGCAAAAGTGGCCACATGAGATAATCATGTCTTTAGATTGTACATACTATGCACTTCAATCTCAGCTAAATAGGTCCTTAGTCATAAAGAAGCAACAATTTGCTTTTTTAGGGAATGAATTACCTCAGAGGTAGGAATACATCTCTCTTGACTGCCTTTTTTTTTCTTAATAAAAGTAGGTAAAATGCTGAATTTCCCTAGTACAGTAAAATAGTGATTATAAAATATAAATTACATTAAAATTAATATTTATTCAGAGAAATAGTGCCTTGAGACAAAAGATCCCTTAATTATTAAAATTGTGTTAAAAGGTTTAGAGAAACTTATAAAAATTGTTTTTCATGTATAATTTCTATAACTTAACATATATTAAGTTACTGTTTTATTATTTTTTCCACCACTTGAGCACACCCTCCCAACATCATAGGTAACACAAATCCAACTATTTCTTAGAAAAATTAAAATATACTTGCCTGTTTTTCTTTATTAACTCCGGACATAAAAAGTTGTTTGTATTTGTCCTTAAAAGCAAAATTTAGAGCTTGTGTTGGAAAATACCGAATAACATTTGCCAAATTGCCACGCCAATAACTGAGGAAACCTACGAAAGAAAATATACTAAATATAAACTTGTATTATTAAGTAATTTCCATAGTTTTAACAAACTTAGTTATTTGAACTATTTAAAACTAAAGCCCTTTCTCATGAGAAAAAATAAAGTTTATATGTGTCTCCACTGAAGAAAAAAGGTAGTGTTAGCTCCATGAACCTCATTCTAATTTTGTTAATTTGCAATAAAAAACCTTGAATACCTAACGACCTATAGAAACCGTTATCAGTTGAAGAGAGTTCTTTACTAGTCAAAAATCAGATCAAGAGTATTTGTCAGGGAAGTTAGTAACCCTTAGCGTCATTTCTAAATCATGATATACAATTCCTATAGTGGTAAGGCTGCTAGAACAAAATTGGTTTGTATCCATATTTAAGAGGAGAAAGGGATCGAAGAGTCTAAAGCATCCTTCTCTCTATGTACTGGAACCTAGACAGAAAAGGGAACAATTTACAATTCAAGGCAGTCTCCAGAGGCCTGATGGACAGGAGGAAACGTAATAAACTTCCCACTTCAAATCTCAACAGATTGACCAATCCTAATATGTGTTACCCTTATAATTCAGAGCTGCCTTTATAATCCAAAGCTGCCCTAGAATGCAACAGGCTTGCTCTTCAGCAGCCATAATTGTTTTTACTAGATTGCAAATTGTCAAATAGTCTGATCTTGCTACTCTGAATAAGATACCGCTACGCCCAGCTTAGAGAATACCTAGAATCAGTCTTCTAAAGATGAAGATTCAGATGAAAATAATTTCAGCTGACTGGGCCAGTACTCAGAAACTGAAAGTTAAATTAATTAAGTATACAGAGGGAAAGATATTTATTTGTTATATATTTAATGGGAAATCCCCCAGAATGTTGGTGAATCCTAAGCTGAGTATAAAGCAGTTAAACAGCCCTAGCATGTCTGGCTCAGTGGTTAGAGCACTGGGCCACAGACTAAAGGGTCCCAGATTTGATTCCAGCCAAGGGCATGTACCTCGGCTGGAGTGCATACAGGAGGCAACCAATTGATGTGTCTCTCTCACATCCATGTTTCTCTTTCTCTCTCTTTCCCTTCCACTCTCTCTGAAAAGCAATGGAAAAAATATTCTTTGGTGAGGATTAAAAAAAAAAAAAAGCAGTTGCACAATTAAGAAGCATATTTAATAGCCAAGAAATAATCTTTCCAGTATTCACAGTTGATTCAGTCTTTACTAGTGCACTGAACATGTAATGGTAATAGCTACCACTTCCTAAGCATTTGCTTAAGATGTAGGTTCTCCTATAGTACCCATTGTACACATGCACAAACTGAAACTTTAAAGAGTTTAAAAACTATCTAAGGATGTGGTTACCAAACAGCCAAACCAGGATTTAGAATCAAGTCTTCTGCATGACTCAAAAGCTCTCCTCTAGGGTTTGGGTTTCTAGAGGAACTGGATTTTACTCCTTTAATCCTCATAATCACCCATGAGATAGGTATCATTAGTCTCTTCATTTTAAAGATGAAAAAATGAGTTCCCTCAGATTACAAAAATCTACTCCGTGTAATGCAAACTTAGGGGAGTAAAATTTGTCACTCCAAAATGTGTCTCTGGAGTGAGGATTATTTGGGACTGATTGTTTTTAAGAAACAGAAAGCTCAGGAAGGTGTTTTTTTGGTTTTTTACCTTCTCCTTAACTACCAGAAAAAATTTAGAGAGAGGGCTTGGTCCAGGAAGAGAACTATCACCAAAGATGACTACAAAGATTATGGGCTAGGTGTGATAAACTGGCTGGAGCTGCACAGGATCTGTTTTTTCAAAGTCCCTTCTATGTCCCATTGGCTCAGCCCAGCACAACCAACATTTGTTTATAAAACATTTGCTTTCTCTGTCTTCCTGTAAATTTTCTTCCTCCTGTTGGAAGACCCAGACCCCTACCCCATTCTTCTTAGCTCAGAGTGTCATATAAGCCTCAACTGTCCGACTGCTTATGGTTTCAGATTTTTATAGAGCCATGCACGTATGCAATTAAAGTTGTTTTTCTCTGGTTAATCTGTCTTCTGTTAATTTGATTATCAGAATATCCAAAGAACCTAGAAAGGTAGAAGGAAAATTTTTCCTTCCCTACGCAAATTAATCCCAAATACACATCAGAAATACATGTTTGCAAATTTAGGAATGCATACGTAATGATTAAAGAATTACAATTCATTGAGTACTAACTATGCAATAGACACATGGTTGAATATTTATAGTTGTTTAACCCTCACAACTACCATATCAGGTATGCAGTATACTACTGAGGAAAATAAGGCTGAGAGAGGTTAAATAAAAATGGTTCAAGGTCACAAGGTAAGGTAAAGGCTGGAACTTGATTCCAGATCTGACTCCAGACCTAGAACTATTAAATATCTACTGCTTCTCTATAAAAATCCATTCTCAATAAAATGAGTAGTCTTTTTGGGTCAGAATAAAAAAATGGAAAAGCAGTCATACAGATGAAAAGGACAGTTTCCTAATATATAATCACAAAATTGGTAGAGAAAAATATAGCAACTGTGGTATCTTTGATAATAGCATATAGCTAAGTGTTTGACTTAATTGCTAAGAAAAAATAATCTCTTCAAAATTTAAGGGCAAGAAAAAACATACTCTGAAATTAATTTTGAGAAAATAATTAAGAATTAAAATAGAACTGATGGGAAAATAGGAAACAGTTACTGGGCCATTTACTGGTCAATTTACAGCCAAGAATGGGAATGCTAGGCACACTTGGTATATATTCTAGATTAGTGGACCCCAGTATGTTTTGACAGAATGCCTATCAGTAAAAATATATATAGTTAGCATGACTCATAAATATGTATATATATTTACAAGTTACATACCTTTGATACTATACTATCCCATTATGTACATTTTTAAGATATACCCAAAGATTCCTCACTTAAAAAACTTTTATTTGGTACCTAGTACAAAGCAGACCTGCTGGGGATAGCACTAGGAACAAAGTTCTTGGTCTTATGGTGCTTATATTTTGAGGGCGAGGGTCCAGGGAGAGAGACAATGAACAAATAAATATGTCGGGTAGGCATAAGAACTACATAAATATGCCAGGTGGTCATAACAAAAATAGTATATGGAGATGGAGAATGACAAAGGGCTATTTAGGTAAGGTGCTTGGGGAAAACGTATAGCTAGGAGACATTAGAGTATACATGAGCACTTATTAGAACAATTAAAAAGCAGTATTTTCAGATATCTTGCTAATTATAATGTTTTTATGCCATCATTTGCTATTATCTCAAGGCATCCTTAGCGTGGGGTTAATTCTTATGCACACTAATCTATATTTTAAATACTCTTTTTGCCCAGCCGGGCATGGCTCAGCTGTTGAGCATCAACCTGGGGATCCAGGCCATCGGGGTTCGAATCCCGGTCAGGGCACATGCCTCAGTTGTGGGCTCGATCAATGACTCTCTCATCATTGATGTTTCTATCTCTCTCTCCCGCTCCTTTCCTCTCTCTGAAATCAATAAAGATATATTTTTTAAAAAAGAAGAAAGAAAGATTTAAATATTCTTTTTGATAACTTAAAATATTCAAATAGTCTTTTTGTCTTAATAAATCCACTTAACTGAGCAAACAGAAACTATAATGTTTATTATGTAATAACTGAGGTGAGTGCCTGTCAGCCTCTCTACACTGTGTAACTAACTCCTATTCCTTTTTCAGAATGCCTTAGTGCCCTCTAATATGTAACTGACTTTTGTCCCAAGCATAAGTGCCAGTTCCAGTAAAATAAGTAAATAAATATTACTTATATTTATTATTTATATTAAGTAAATAAATATTACTTAAATATAAGTAAAATTTATTTTTCCATTTTATTTAAATAAAGTGAATACCTAATATTTTATTTGCGTGCCCCAAAACATAACCTTCAAGATATAAAAACCTCACTGCTCTAGCATTCAAAAAAATAAGTTTGGAAAAGTTCAGATTAAAGATAACTCATGGCCAGTAACTAAGTGAGGAGTTCTGGTAGGCTCTTAAAAATGAGACTGCATAGTTCAGATTTTTAAAAGGCTATTTTACAATATATTAAATACAATAATTGTTTTAATGAAGAATATATTTACATATGCATATTTTGCTCAGTGAAAAATCATAGCACAGACACCAAAATGTGAACTGTGGTGATTTTAGCAGTGATTTGTTTTTATTTTTTGCTTCTGTATTTTCTAATTTTCTATAACAAACATGTATTACTTGTGTAATAAATATTTAAACAGTATTAAATAAAAGTGCGTGAAGTTGGAAGATCATAAAACCAACTGAAGAATAGAGTAAATCTTTAAGAATAGTATTAGTCAGGATAAATTCAGAAGCTTTCATAATCCAAGGAAAGCTTATAGAAAGTATCAAAGACACCAAAGAAATGTTTAAAGCTATGTTCAGAGCAAGAATAAAGAGATCTATCCTTGCTAGAAAGAGATAAGGTAAGAAAATAGTGAGGGAATGTCTAGTTGTGCCTTCTGAGTTCATGTTTCAGACTCATTCCATATTGCCTAAAGAAAGGAAAAGTTAGTAAAATTAGAGCAAGCATAAAAAAACAAGAGAAACTTCAAAACACTTGAAATGTGGATGTGTCTCAACTTCCAGAAAAGAGACAGAAGGTAAATTCCAGTAAATAATGACCTCTGAATGTGACTGCTTAGTAAATTCCAAAATGATTTAGCATGGTGACTCTAAACCCTACCAGGCTCAAGTCCTCTCTATATAAGTATTTATTGTAAATACTTTACTATCTAGAAATAGAATTCAAAGACAATGACCTCTTTATCAATTTTTTAAAAATGAATATAATGCCCTCACTGTTATATAAAAGAGAAAAGAAAGGAATTTATATTAAATATGTATTTTAATTAGTAAATTGGTGAGGGATGATCACACTATAAACATAATAAATGTTTGCTTCAATTTATAATGATTCAGTTATATTTAAGACATAACTGACATTTTGAAAAAAGGGCTTAATAAATATATTTGTATATATATGTACAATGATCATGAATTCAATAGTTACAAATGCAGATAATAAAAGTAACCTAATACAAGTAGAGTTGCTGACATGAGTTTCACAATGAAGAACAACTCTCAGTAAAATTCCAAACAAAACAATCTTCCCTCTACTTGAGGAGTGGGGAACCTTTTTTCTGCCAAGGGCAATTTGGATATTTATAACATCAATTGAAGACCATACAAAAATACCAACTTTACAAAAGCTCCTAGACTTACTGAATTTTGAGTCCTGCCTGCTGTTGCCTTGGCAGGGCCAGAACAAATGATCTTGCATAGTCTGTGGGCCAGACGTTCCCCATCCCTGCTCTACTTAGACAGTAGCTGCATTACTGGAATCAGTGTTAGCTAGAACTATGTCCAGATAGTTTGTGCTGAGAAGTTAATCAGAGTTAGGTTTGAAGCTTAGATAATCATAAACAGTTTTTACTGCTACATGAATATCCAGTGGGAGATCTGAGTCTTTAGGATGTGGGATAAATCTGTTGTGTAGGACTGGCCATGTATAGCAGCAAGATGTTTAGCCTCCCCGGCTTTTGCTTTTCACATCATTTCAATGAAAGATTACACCCCTCTATCTTTGTGTTAAATAAAAAAATTCCTCACAAGTTTCCAAAAAAGTCCCTAGATGGCAATATTAACCCTGTTATGAATTACTAACCTTTTAGCATAGGATAAATACCATAGTGTATTCATAAGACGGCCCTGTATGTAAGAATAGAAAACATCTTAAAGTTCTGCTATTATCATCTCATCTTTGAAAGTACAGAAAGTAGGAATTGGAATACTATTCAGAATGAACTCAATTTATAACAGCCATATTAAATATGTTCAGGTTTAGCCTGGCCTCCTTGGCTCAGTGGCTGAGCTTCTACCTATGACCCAAGAGGTCAAGGTTCGATTTCGGGTCAGGGCACAAGCCTAGGTTTGGGGAATTCATCCTCAGTGGGGGGTATGCAGAGGGCAGTCAATTAATGACTCATCACTGATGTTTCTATCTCTCCCTCTCCCTTCCTCTCTCTGAAGCTGATAAAGATATATTAAATATATATATATATGTTCAGGTTTAAATATTACAAAGAACATTTAAAACATAAAATAAATTAGCACTGGTCAAGTAATCTGACCAGAATATTTAACTTTACCTGACTAAATATGCAAAGCAGATTAGCTAATAATAAAGCATCCCCCACTTCCCTGAAGAGGTCTTAGAACATACACCAAGGAGAGAGAAGTTCCTACTTTTCCTGTAAAAATCGTAGGTGAAATGGGAAGTTTGCTCTGATAAAATAAATGGGGTTTGGCGATGTGCACCACTCCTATGAAAGATTCGGGTTCAGCTCTCAGATAGACATTTTAAATTCACAGTTTAGATGATGCCTTAAGAGTCTAGTTTGGACCCTAAATACTGTGCCCAACTGATCAAGAAGAGCTGCAATCACATCCTAGGGAGAGAATACTCGTCTATGAAAGAGTTTCCTGCTCTAGACAGGAGTGGAAGAAAGAACTGCACTGGAGTTGAAGCCACTTCACTTCTTGTTCAGAATACCCAATAAATAGGCCTATTTCCTTTTTGAAGTTGATTGAGAGTTTTCAGTTGAATTCAACTATATGGGTGGATTATAGAAGACTTGTGATAAATTTATCCGATTGCAGAATAGCTAACTTAGGAGCCATTCTGCAACAGGAGGGCATTTAACGGTTAACAAAGCACTTTCATTATTTACCCCTTGAAATCTTTCTTTCAATATTAATGGAGGGGGGGGAACTCCACAAAAAAATTAAAATTTTAAATAAAGACAGAGTCTGACGCAAAAGAAAAATTGGTAATACTGATCCTGTCTTAAAACTTTGTTGTTATGATGATCTTGGATTTTAAAAAAACACTGCATTAAAAAAATTATTTGTCTTTATGTCATTTTGCTCCCCCCTCAAATCTAAGCAGAGGTGAGCGCCTCTTCAGTAGTTTTCAAGAATAAACATAACCTCTTTTCACCAAATAGGGACCAGAGTCCTGGGAGGCCCCAATGGTCCCATATTTGGAATACCTCTCGAACATATTATTTCAACAATATTTAAGCAATTTGAGCATTTGTTAACACACAGCAAAGTGCTTAAAAGCCATCTCCCCTAATCTTGGGAGTCAAACACTGCCTTCAGAGCCAGGCACAGAGGCGCCAAGGTGTAAATCCGGCTGTGAAGGAGAAATTTAGAGATAGAGAAGGTGGTGGTCTCCCCTGCACCAGGACTGGTCTCCCTCTTGGCCCTGGGATAGACTGGTTCAGATCACTGAATTCTCCGAGATGAAGAAACAAGCCCGTCACCCAGCCGCAGGCACGGCCGCGGCTCCCGCAGTCGTCCCCTCCCGGCCCACCCAGGAGAGAGGGAGGCGCCGTGGGCGCCTGTACGCACCCTGCTCGCGGGGAATCCGCACCAGGCAGTCCAACATGCCTTTGTACTGCGCCTCCGGGCTAATCTGTTTGGACGAGGCCTGCACCTGCAGCAGCAGCTTCACCCGCTCGATGGGCGCCACCGCCGTCTTGGACACCGCGGCCGCGGCCCCGCCTGCCAGCAAGTCTTTCCCGAAGGACATGGGGTCAAACAGCCGCTTTTCCGGCTTCTTCTCCAGCTTCTTTTTCGGAGGGTCACGCTGCATGGTGGGACGACAGAGGTTTAAAAAACCCCACAAAAAACAGCAGCAGGTTTACAGGAGCCCAGGAGAGTCCACGAAGGGAAGCACAAAACCGCCTTAAGGCGGTCCTGGCGGGAAAGCAGCGCCGAGGACGCCAGGAGACCGGCGCACCACGTGGGGGCCCCCGGGAAGCTGCGCATGCGCTTCCAACGGCCTCCCGCCTCCTGGGGCCGGCCACGTGACTCCGGACACTGCGGCGCCGCGCGGTGCTGTCGGGTGAGTCGCAGGGCGCGGGTTTTTCCTCGCTGCGGGCGGGCCCACAGCCCGTGGGGTCTGGGCAGCGAAGGTGCAGGAAGGGCCCCGGGGTTGCTATTTCTGTGTAAATATGGTGTACAAACTAGAGCAGAGCAGTCAACCGTGTGGGATTAACCGAGTTTCGTTTCAGTTCCTAGGGTTACTGTGCATTTTTCTCTTAGAAATCGCTGTAATATCGCTTCCTTAGTTTTGCGGGGCTCGTTTAGTCACGTTGGCACTGCTTTTTGCCGATGGTACCCGCTTAGCATAATTCAACATGTTCCTCTTTCTCCTTTATTTGATTGAAATGGGTCAGTTACACCCAGAGCAGTGTCCCTCTCAGTCCCGGCTGCGCATTCAAAGGAGACGGCGAGTGGCGTTTAATTTTGTTTAGTGCTGGGGTTTGGGGAATCCCAACGTGCAGGTTACCAGTGAGCTATTCTAGAACAGCGGTTCACAGACTTTTCAGTTATTAATCCTCACCCAAGGATATGTTTTCCATTGCTTCCCAGTGGAAGGGAGGGAGGGAAAGAGAGAAGCATCTATGTGTCTCTCACATCAGTTGGTTGCCCGGGGATCGACCCTGCAGCCCAGGTACTGCCCTTGACCGGAATCGAACCCAAGACCCCGCCCTGCAAAGGCCGATGCTCTAGCCACTGAGCCACACTGGCCAGGGCCAAACTTTTTGCTTTAAAGGTGAAAGGGACCCCCCTTTTCACTATTAAAAATTAAGAGTGCAAAGAAGCTTCTGTTTTTGTGTGATAAATTGATATGTACCATTTCAGAAAATGAAACAAAATATAAAACTATCAATTCATTTAAAATAGTAATGCACAACACAAATAACATTTAAAATAATTTTTCAAAACAAAAAATAATGTAGTGAGGAGAATAGCCTTGTTCTTTATTTTTGGAATTCTCTTTCATGTCTGAAGGAAAGACAGCTGGGTTTACAGAGCCGTTCTTCAGCCAGTTGCAGTGTCACAGCTCATGTGGCTGCTGGAACATCATTTGCACAGATGAGAGGAAGAGTGACACTGGCAGATGTTGTCTTAGCATTATTAAGGAACGTTTTGACCTCATGGAGGCCCAGATGTCCTGGTGACACCTATATTTCTCCCCTACCACACTTTGAGAACTCCTCTGAGGCTGATCAGACTCAGGTTTGACTTCTCGGGGCAGGAATACTCAGTACATCATGTCTATCTGTATTTCCTCCCACCTCCCTTTTTAAAAAATTCCTGTATCCTAGAGAGCCTTCTATAATATATTCCTTATTCCTTTTGATAGTCTGTTTGATGGTTTCTCATAAATAGAGACACCATTTTATCATCTCTTACTCTGTAGGACCTACAGTTTTGAAACACAGCCAGGCAACCCGGAATAAGTTATTGACATTGAACTTAGGTTCTAATTTTTTCTTCATTATCTTAAGTGTGTTCTGACACTTTTCATTCTCCTTGTCACCAGTGAAAAAATAAATATGTAGGCCATTCCAGAATAGGAATTCCAGAACAGGAATTTTGTTAATATTTTGATTACCTCATGTAAAACAAGTTGGCAGGTCCTGCTGATCTGGTATTTCACGCTACTTTCTATAGCTGCTTATTCGGCTCTTACTGGTTTTTCAGCCTGAGTCTCTCTCCATTTTACGTTGTCATCAGATTAACCTTTCTGAACAAACTGCATTAGTCATTATTCCTAGTTTTAAAAGCTTTTAAGTCTTCTCACTGCATTGACTTCAGAATCCTTTGTGAAATCCATTGCAAATTCAAGAAATAAATGATTGGTGTCTTATTTGCAAAACTCTGAAAAATGAAGGTTTCAATCTCCTTTTTTAAAAGGAATTTGAAGTGTTAACAAGCACAAAGGGAAAAATGTAAGGGGGTGATTGATTACTTGAATCACACTCCAAGGTGAAAAGAGAGATAGATGCATAAGTATCTCTGAGGACAGAAAAGCTGCTCCTTGGGGCTGTTCTCTCTTCCTTTCTTGCCTCCCTTTCCCCTCACCCCTGCATTTGACTCTGTAGTGTTTATAACATATTCCTTATGATATCCTCAAGCTTATTTATGGTATATATTCACTGATAGAAGACAACAAAACTAAAAGTACTTAGAAATATTGCTTTGTTTACCTTATTAAATGCTTTATATCAGCTCTTTTCAACAGACTGAGCTGAAAAATGTTTCTTTTAACTTGCTGCATTGCATTTTATTTACTGAGTTAGGGAACAAAAACAGTTTGGTGATTTATATGTTAATATTAAAAGTATAGAGTTTCAGGGCCTTTGTGCTCCTCACTCCCATGAGGATGGATTTTTAGCTGTGTGTTTTTTTTCCCACCACTGTATCCCCAGCATCCAGAACAGTGCTTGGCACAGAGTAAAAATTCAATAAACATTTGTTGGACCAATGCATGAAAAGGCATCACAACCACAAACTCCAAACCATCTTTATTAAAAACTATCAATATAGTATAAAAATAGCTTCAATTATATAGAATACAGAAATATAGCTCTACAAAAGTAAATTATTTTCACACAGTTTAGTGTATAGACTAAAGTTTTAGTAACATTTAATAATATTTTTTAAAATATCCAAAGTATAAATCCTTGTTCTCAAAAATTTTTAGTGCTGAATACTTTTCCTCAGCTTCTTTCCAACATTTTGTGCAGTAACAGGTATGATTTAGCTGATTCCTTGGTTTTCAACCAATGGATATTTGATAATAATAGTAGCAGCAGCTAACACTTTTATAGCACATAACATGTGCCAGGAGCTATTTAGAGGGAACTCACACACACAACAATTATTCACAACATTCTCAAGATTGTTCAAAGCAGACAAACCTACTAAATTGGTTTCATAAGTTTTCTCATTTGTATTAGAAATATAAAAAAGCAGGCACTGCAGATTTACTATCTTGCCTGTATGCATCATCATTAACAGTCCCTTGGCACAAATAAGAAATTTTCTGTTGCTAAGTATAGTTCTCTAACCCCACAAAAAGAAACCAATGAGAGCTAAGGAAAGGGGATGGAAGAGCGGGAGTAGAGTCTAAAATGGAATTGTTGGGGGCTAAAAATACAGGGCCAGGCAAAAGTAGGTTTATAGTTGTGAGTACGCAGAACACAGTTTATTTTAATGATTTTATTTAATTATTTTATTATTTGCCATATGAACAACTGTAAACCTACTTTTGTCCCACTGTGTATATGATGGTGATAAGACAGTACTTGATATTTTTAAAAACAGTAGTTATATAATCTTTTGCATTAATAGTCTTTGGTGAAAGGGACCATCTGCAGGATGCTAACAAAATCCAACTTAAGAATGTTTCTATACTTGCCAAAGAGTATATACCTCTATGGTATCTGCACTGTCACTTTGTCCCCTTTATTTAATAAAGTGGCAGATAGGTATTTATTATCTAGTAATCAGACTAATCTACTTTCAGATATGACTATGAACATACTTGGAAAAATGGGCTACTAAGTTTATTTGCAATGTTTACTTCAGTATCCATTTAGTGATGAAAACCAAGATGTTTGGTTTCATTTTTTAAAAATGCAATGTCTGTACAATGTGGACATTATGGTATACATCTATAACATAGCAAATGATTTCTCCTTATTAACATTAGTAGTTTGCTTTATCTTTTTGTTTCAGTTACTGAGTGGTGGTCAATATGATTCTTTGACACCAGGAAAGCAGTTCAATAGATTAAAATTTCATTAAATGAAGAAAAAAAGTCTGCTATGATAAACCCCAAGTTTTCAGTCTGTTTGAAAAATCTGAGGTGATCAGTAGCTGCATTTATTAAGAATTCTCAGTATTAAAAATAGGTCATGGTGTTTTGGGGGAAAATATAAACAAATTTAAGACATTTAATAAATACTTTTAAACAAAGTGCCTTAATACCCATGATACCTTACTGCCCTGAGCTCAGAGAGGTACAAAGACTTGCTTGTGGTCACAGCACTAATTAGTTACACGACCGGGTCATGTTCCCCCAATTTCATGATTCTGTCACCAGATTCATTATTAATCTTGAGATAAATACACAACAAACTGAGTATTTTTCCAAGATAAATATTTCCTATATCAATTTTATATAAAACACTTCACATTACTTCAAACTAGTCAATAAATTAATGTTTTATATCAAAATGAAAATAAGTTAACAATTCCTTCTTCATATTTTGGTCAAATATCTTTTCAAAAGTCTCACAATACTATTAAGGTCTAGTGCATCAAATCCAACAGTATATGATCTCAGTATTTAACAATATTATGTTTAATATTGAACAGTTCAATATTAAACCTTATCTTCTGTGTATGGATTTCAGCAATCCCAACACTGCTCAATGCTCCATGTAGTGTTGCTGTGCAGCAAGAAAACAGTTACAAGGTCAATCCAAAGAACAATTTAAAAGCCATTTCAATTGCAATTTCTGTGACTGAGTCATGAAAACAGACATAAAGTTCTTGAACTTTGGGATGAAGAAAGAGTCTCCTGTAGAGGAAAAGAAAACACTTATTTTAGAAATTCAAAAAACAAAGAAAAGTTAAAACTTTCAATTCATTTTATTTTTTTGTTTCTGAAAGTATCAGTAATAAACTGAAACACAAATCTAAATCTATAGTAGGGGGGAAATGCACGTAGGTTTACTTTGAAATAATATATGCCTTAGGTCAATTATTTTTGTTTTTCCAGAGTGTAAAAAG